GGAAATTTCCAGCTCTATCAGTATGGTAATATTATTAAAAGAAGTATTTTTATTACCACAGTTCTCAGGTTTTACAAGGAGAAAAGTAATAAGTCATAAAATAGAACAATTGAATTATTTAACTCCATAAAAGTTTTCAGACTGTATGAAAACTACTAAATGAAGCTGTGACATGCAAGCTAATATCTAGATGTTCATACGTTTTCAGTGAGATAGAGGCACTGAAGATAAAATGTGGGATGTGAATGGCCTTTTCTGTCCTCTATTAATTTGTTAGGCCATATGTAAGACAGTGACAACAGAGCAGTGAATGAGTTCTCAGTGTCACAGCAGAAAAGGAAACACTGGCTCACCTGCTTGATCCTCTGGATAAATAATCCTTGGTGACAACAACTATAAGCCCATTTCAGACATAACCCAGGACAGCAAAATTTACATAAAATCATGAGATTTTTGCTCCTGTCCAGTGAAAAAAATACCAGGAGTTCAGATCATCTCAGTCATTCTCTACCATTTGCAGCCAAGTCCACAGAGGAACAAGTCTTGAGAACTTCTCATAATTTTTCACTGTTATTAGTCCCAGCTTTGAATCTGTAGTGTTGTTTTTCTTTTCCCCATGTCGGCCAGTTTAAGTAGGCAGAAGCTCACAAAATACTTGGCCGGGTATTCTTGGATCCCAGGTGGCTTAACAGAAGCACTCATCACCTTGTGAAGTTGAACATTTTGACTCATCCCTAACGTACACCTGAACAGCAAGAACAAAGTCACTTATAAAAGGCCTGAAGGTAGTTAGCTATGGAGACTAGTAAGAGGGTAGGGAATGCAGGTTGTCAACATCAATAAGTGTCCATTTAGTTAAGAATTAAAACATTGAAAAGATACAGTTTTCATGTTTGTTAAATTTGGACAAAATATGTTTTCTCCCTCAGTTAGATCTTGCCCATCTTTTCCTAGCTCTGCAACAGCAGTGTAAGGACATAACGTTCATTATATTTTCCTTAGACGAGGGAAGTGTTTACACTGTCCTTTTGCTAGCAGCAAAATGCTTTATCCACCATCTGAATTTCTGTACCCTTTATAATTGCTCAGCCTAATTAACACTCCAGTGAATTGCACACCTGCATTACCTTCACATCCCTACGCTCCTGCTCTTCTGCACTGATGCTGTTGGTAAAACTGTTAAAATGTTTCTGAGTTGCCTGAGCCTTCCTGGAGACCACAGAATGCGTTCATGTCATGCTTTTCCATGAAACATGAGGAAGATGCAGGCTGGCTCAGTACTCTGTGACACAATCACAATCTATTTTTAGAGCCCCCCTTTTCTGAGAAACTAGTTTTCCCATGGGAAACAAATCCTTGGGGGAAAAGTCATTTCCACCTCATTTGTTAATCTAAAATATCTTTGCTTTTGGCTTCCTGCTATGGAGCACAGAACTGCTGCATCTTGTTAATTTTGCAGTCTTGCTAAATGACACTGAGATTTATTTAGAAGAAAACCAAATTTAGTCCCATTAGATCGTAGCAACAGTTATATGAAAAGGAGCTAAAAAAAAAATAAAATAAAAATAAAAATAAAAGAAAAGAATTTGTTCTGCTCTTAGAAAAAATTGTTCTCTGAAACCAACAAATTATCTACATGAAAGTTAATCAAAGCACTGTCCCGAGGACATGGTAAAAGGTATGGCTGCAGGGAAAACCTGCAAAAAAAAACAGGATAACATTCTCTACAAAACTAAAACATCACATCCAAAGAGTAAGCAAAAGATCAGAGCATAAGGGAAAGAGAGTAACTGTTAACATGCATCTATAAAACCCCGCTGCAATGAGACCTTCAGGCTGCTGCTGGAAGCTATAAGTTTAAATTATGGGTGTGATTCTTTGTTTCGCTACTGTTCACTTCAATATCTTCCCTGTAACAATAGACACCCTGGGATCATTATCCCACTGCAACATATATTCAGAATGACTGGACTGGACTGTGCACACTAGAGTGACTACAAGCACAGCTATTTATGCCTTTGTTTAAAATAACAGACTAGAGCCAGACTGCCTCTGGTTATAAGGATGAGTCGTCACAGTAAGGCTAGAGATGCGTGTGATGTGATACGTGATGTGATATCTCCAAAAAAAGCCAGTTACAAGTAGCTCTGCCACAACTCCTCAGAAGCCCAGCTCCCCCCAGTTCCTCTCCATGAAAGGGTGAGATGGGAAAAAAAGGCAAGCAGCGCGTTGGCACCTTCTCTCTACTGTACTGGGGGAAATAAATGAACCAGTGAAACCAGGGAGCCAAGTGCCACCAATAAAAGACCAAAATAATTATGTCTTCCAGGAATGGCAAGGTTTCTCTACCCACTCTTTCCTGGAAGTGATACAATATTATGGTTGTGTCATATTGTATTCCTTTATAGGAATATTTCTAAGAATATTATATTTCTAATATTCCTGTATGTACTATTCTCAGTTACTGTATGAAGGCTTAGGTGAGCTAAGGCCACACAATTTGTCCATGTATATTCTGAGTGTATAGGAGTTGTTAGAGATATAACATCAGTATTTAAACAGTAGCATAGGTAAAGGGATAGGTTAACAAAAGGTCTGACTACTGCTACTTCAGCTTGAGATGCAAAATTCACATTTGGAATAGTTTGTGTGAGTTTTGGAAGGAAAACTCACCATTTCACCAAAGATATTTTAGTGGATATACTGTTAGCATCAGTGGTGTTTCCAACAGGAATCTTTCTGAGGTTATTGCCAGGGAAAGAAGTAGCTAAAATAGATGGTCTAAAAATGCCTATGTTTTGACAGGACTCCATTTTTCTGGAAAAAAAAATTAAAAAAAAATAAAAAAATCTACCTGGAAAAACAGCATATCAGAACCAAAAAGCTGTCATGAAACAGATCTACAATCTTCCTCCTGGTCCAGGTCAGAGCTGTCACAGATTCACTGTGTGACTGGCCAACCAGCCCAGAACCAAATTTTCACCAGTGCCCACAAATTTTCCTGCCTCAATATGTGGGTCCCTCAGCTGCCTGACATCTCTTGGTTGAAATTGTATATTTACATATGCTACCACTACACCACTTCTTTGGTTGCAGCACAGCACAGAATTTTCCAAGCATAGGAATGTCATCAGCTGCCTATAGCTCAGCTGCTGGTAACGGTCCAGTTGCAGAAACACATGTGAGCTAATCACCCCAGGATATTTACCGTCGGGGTAGGTTCATGCAAAACAGGCTTAACTATGCAGAGTGAGTGCAGCCCAGGCCCATCCTTTGTGTCCCTACCTGAAGAAAAGAAGGATAATGATGAATAGTCTCCTCCTTTTGATTGTATGTAGATCTACCAAGGAAAAACTCAAAATGCATGCATATTGTCATCATTTATCAATGTTTTTTCTCCTCTCCTTTCATTTGCGCATAGGTCAGCTGTTATATGAGTCAATTCATTATGGCGACAGCCAATGTTATACCCATTACCAACCTGCTTACTGTAAAACTGAAAGCATCCATGAGAAAGGGTTCCCGGCAATCTCTTTCTACTGACAGCTTTTGAGCTAGCAGATCCCACTGAAATAGTACCTGTATTAGGAGAGTCAGTGTTCTGCTGAAATGATGAAGGTTGAAGTTTGCTAAAAAGTCAAAAGACTCCAGTCAGGTATCGGTATCTGAATGATAGCAATAATGTCCCTTTTGTCAAGAAAGTCCAGTTTGGAGCCTAGCAGGGGGATTCCGTTTCTTTTATCATGAAACTTCAGCTGTCTGGAGCTGGCCAGGGACTAGAAGCCAAGCTGTATAACAAAAAATGAGTCAAGCAAGAATGTGCTAAAGGAGATGAAGCAGCTCCAGCAATTCATGCCAGCTCCAGCAGCTGCTCCATGCTGATACCTGTCCATATAGCCAAGTTATCTGGGTGACAGTGTGAGATGCTCTCCCAGAGTCATCGTGGTATACAGGTAACCTACTGGAAATGAAAAAAAAAAAAAAATATGGAAATTTCCAACACATCAGAACAGTTTCTCCATGGAAACACTTGACTGTCTTAAAAAAAATGGCAGAGGAAGAGGGTGGGACTTGCATCTGCAGATCTACGGATGGTTTCATGGTGCTTGGGGTTTTTCTTGCTTGGTTAAAACTTCAGAAACCAAAGTACCATTAGGAAGGCTCAGCAATGGGAAAACAAAAAGCAAAACAAAACAGAAAAACACACTGATGTCTTAATGGGTTAGAGATCTATTCTAAGCTTATCACCTCTCAGGAGTCCGGATACATCTCTCTCTCCTTTAAAGTATGAGGTTTTACACATTCAGAGCTGCTTCTTTCATTCTGCATAAAATTTTTGAAACAGAAAAAATGTGCTGGTAGAAAAGCTAATGTAAATTGTAAATTGGAACAGAAAAATAAGTATATTCAGGTCAAGCTTTTACTTTGACAATTCTTCATTTTAAAAACATTTTCTTATGTTTCCTTCCTAGTTTACAATATGAGATGAAATTTGTTTTAAAAATTGAAAAACAAAATTCCTTATTTAAGAGAATCTTAGAATATTTTCAAAAATCAGTTTTATAAAAATTAAAATTGAACAAAATTGTCAAAAAGAATCTTTTCTTTTGATGGATGTAATTACAAATATAAATAAATCAACATTTTCTGCTGATATTATTTCAGAAAAATACCCAACCAGGTGTGACAGACATAGAAAAGATTACCAGTTATGCCTTACTTAATATATTTGACTACACAGAGTTGACATTTCACTATCAGTTTCTTCAAAATGAACGTGCATAGTACATATAAAAAAATTAAGTAAAATAAACTCTGTGTGTAACTCCTGTAGTGGTAGAGAAACACTATGACAAAAAATAAATAAATAAATAAATAAAAATTATAAATTATGCAGTTTTTGACCTCTTTTCTTTTCCTATGATACTGCATTGCCATAATTCTCTCTGACCCCATCATCATCCTCTACTTTCATATTTCTTTCGCTGGCGAAACATCCAAACAAACCTGTTATTTATTGCCTTGCACTTCTGCCCTATCCCACTGTACACAGTTGCAGTTGAATGTTTTTGCCTTAACAAAACTACATTTTACGTTTCTTGCCCCTCCTTGCAGATCCTTAGATATCTCTCAGGGTCCACAGATAATTATGTGCACCGTATGTAACTAATACAAGATGTAGAGTATTTCTTAATTTTGATTATGTCTTGAGAATGAGAAAAAATGATCCTCTCATGTTAAGCAGAGATGGTTTCATGTTTCTCTGTGAACCAGTGGGTGTATGATGCCCCCACAATAGGCTGATTTGGGGTATTTCATGCATTTGGTGAATTCAAGAGTATTTGGAACCAGTTTCACGTATTAGTTGACACAATGATCCCTCGGTTAATCTCATGCTGGCAAGTCTTTTTGTTACTGAATTGGAATGCATACAGCATAAATAATAAAAATGACCCATTAAATCATCTACAGCAATTTTGTGCAGCTATCAGACATATGCAGCTTGATTTTCCTCTGACTTATCCCTCTCTTGAAAAGATGAATCTCAGTGATTTCAGCGTATTAATCTTGATTAGCATTCATTAACTTACCACATATTGTATTTATTTTAATGTATTTAGCTGCTTCAGAACAGAGACACCGCCGGCTCTCCCCACAGACTAAAAGGAGAGAGAAGACTCAAAACACCCCTCGGAGGCGGGGGTGTCTCCTTGTTTTTTAGGGCAAGCAGAAATCTCTTAAACTTCTGCCTTCGTGGCTGTATTGAGGGCTTTTCATTCAAAGACCACAATGGGAATTTAGACATCTGGCTCACATGTATAAACCTACACAGAGATGCCTAAATTTAGTTGTCTCCATTTTATACTGAACATTAGCAGAATTGGGTACACACTGTGCTCTGGATCCGCACAACTAGGGTGAGATGGCTCCTCTGTTCACATGAAATACAAGGAGCTCCACAGAGCTTGTCTCTGCATATCTTCACAAGCTCACTGAAGTTCATTTAATGATAACAAAGGCCCACATAGCTGCTCTCAAACGTGAAGGAGTTGACTTGATTCAGCATTGCAGTTTGTTGTTTCCTCAGTACTGTGCCCCAGGCTGCAATGCAATCATTACTGCTGTACTGAATTTCAAGCCAGATCTAAAATCAACAAAAGACAAGGGGTATCATGCAGAAAAACATCAAACTAAATTTAGTGTGAATTAATTTTACCAAAACACACTGTAAAACTTTTATTTCTTTTGTTTTGATATTGTTGCAAAAATGTAAAATGCAGATAAAAATCAAAATTTGTACCAAAAAGGAGAAAGGGCAAAATTAAATGGATCACAAAAGCACATCCATTAGTATTTTGCTTTTGACTCCTAACAGCAATAATCTGCTCCAAGCAGAGATAATTCACAGAGAAGAGTGACTAGTGCAGTACCACAAACCTGATGGAAAGTCAAGCTGAATAAGGGGTAGAATCTGCTGGGGAAAGCTGGCTGCACTGATAGTGTGCTTGAATACTGATGGCTTGGACCCATCTGATCCATAGCTTTCCCTATAACCCATTTTAATGCCAGGCCCCATAAGGGGAGACACAGAAATGTTTTCCAACTCTGAATCTTGAAAATAGCTGAGTGGGTATCTTTTTTATAGATATGGTCTCAAAGACATGGTGTGATGCCCATCAGCATCTATACTGAGGAGCAGTTTTGGTCACACAGTAGTATCCTGATAGCAGTCACTGAAAGGCTGAGCTATTGGACAGTTTTTAGAAACACATCATACCTTATAGAGAAGGGTTTATGGGCTGAACCACTGTCCCAGGTCTTTTCTTCCTGGCATGCAGTACAATTTTGTTTATTTTCCTCCATTTTTTGTGTCTTGGCAAGCCTAGGACTGATAGACGCCAATTCACACAGAGCAAGGATTTGTATCTGGGATACTGTGTCTGAAAAGATTATTGCCTTTTAATTTAATGTAGGGAAACAATTCAGTTCTCACAGGATTCATGGTTGAGCAGCAAATGCATGATAACCCCCATTTTTAAAAAGCTGTTTTAAAGCAACCATACCACTTCACATTGTCATTTTAAATGATACAGCGATTTCATACATTAAACACAACACCAAAGGATTTTAGTAGCAAATTTTAATGAGGATCAAGTGGTTTCATTTCAAGATTTGCCCTGTATTAATTTATCTTAACTTTCTCATTTCAGTATCACTTGTAAAACTACTGAGGCCATGTAGTTCTCAGCAGTGGGTATTAGTGGATAATTTGATGCGGTTAAACGAATAATAAAAGCTAATAGCTTCCTAGAAAAGAGGGAGCAAAATGTCAGCTATATTAACATGAAATACCAGTAACTAAAAAGGATATATTTTATTTTAGCATCTCCATTTCATTAGGTCAGAACAAAAATCTCCTTTCAATCCAATCATGACAAAACCTTGTGCATTTCCAGACATTAAGAAAATGTCCTCATCCTCAAATATTAACTCTAGCAATAACAAACTGAGAGAACACTCTCCCTGGAACACCCTGTCCATGTGCAATGAGCTCCAGAAGAATATGGAAATGATGGTGAAAGGACTGATCAGGTCAGTATAGATGGCAAGCTGGGAATCCTCAGGGTTTGACTGCAGCTTTGCACGGGCAGTGACTGGGCAATGTGCCACAGGAATAAGGCTGCATCCATGTGGGGCATTTGCACCCTGCTCCATCACTCTCCCTACTTCACTCAATGCATTAATATTTTTCTGTCCATCAGCTGGAAAGGGCTCCATTTTCTGATTTTTTTTTCCTGTTATCCCTAACATAGGACCTGCTATCATGATCTTTCCTTACACAGCAGAATTGAATTGCTTGGAGCTGCTTTTATTGCAGGCTGTAGGAAGTATTCCAGCCTCCATGGGCATAGTTCCAAATCTTTTTTCCTCAATTTTGTGTGAAAATTAACTGAACTGCCTTCTTGTCCTGTTCACCCATAGACAAGTGACTTACTGTATGAGAAATTTCTACTTATTCCAGCAGTCAGACAGCTTGCTTTATTAGTGCAGAGACATGAGCCATACAGGATCTTTCTTCCTGCTGTGCTTAATTTCTCAATCCAAGGGTATTATTAAGAAGGAGGAGCAAAAAAAGATTAGGTGCGCTTTCATCTACCTACCCAAATGGCGCCAGTTCTCATTAGAAAACATTTTCTACAGAATCACTCTTTTATGGCTCCCCCCAAATCTTTGATCAAAGGTCTCAGAAATAAATTGATTCTGTGAACATCCATCTATTTGACGTGCAAATTGTGCACTTAAAATAAAATAAAATTAAACTTTATACTTGTCAGCTCAGTATAACACTTCATTCTTTCCTGATCCATTTGAAAGAACCTTGAATTTGACACAACACATTTGAATTTATTTAAATTCTTCATTCAGTTGGTGCAGTAGCATGGTAAGTTAATGACATTGCAATTAATGAAAAATACTTTACAGTTCCATTTCTCCAGAAATTAATTGGATTCTAATTCTTAACTATATTTAATTAAATGACTATTTCTGAGCATCTTTCTAATTTGTTTGGGATTTTTTTAATTTTTTTTTTTATTTTTTGCATATGCGGCAAGGACTACATTTTAAACTTTTTAAAAATGTATTTTACATTCCTCATGTATTTTGCTACCTCCAACATCAGCATTTACTTCTATGTATATCCAGGATCCAGCTCACCCACAAATTATCCTACCTGAAATCCTCAAAAAGCTGAAATATCTGAGTGGAAAGACAGATGCTGTAGAGTACACAAACTGCTAGCTGCAGAAGGACAGTCAGACTTTTCCCTCGGGCTGTCTCTATGATATCCACAGAGGCACTTTGTAGCTGGGGTGCTCTGCATCTGGTCCCCAGTAAAGGGTGTTAAACTTGGACGGAAGCATTTTACATCAGCTGCAGGGTCTCTACCGGTTAGAATGAAAAGTCCTTTCCACAGAGCTCCCCAAGCCTTGCCTGAGGCAGTGTGGACTGTGCAAGAAATTCTCCTCAATTTAAACATGCAGCTTCCAACAATAAGAAATAAAATAAAAAAATAAAATCTTCTTTCCACTCACATTTTATTTTTAAATTAAAATGCCAGTTTCTTGAAGCATTTTTGTAGCTTTTTTCTATGATTATTTCTATTTAAAAAAAACCAACAGCAATAAATTTTGTCCTTGAAACTGACCCCATCAATAAGAGCCAGGTCCAACAAAGCTCTCATCCAGTTTTCTTTTAAATGCACTTTTTATATAATTGAGCACATATCAGACCATTTCAAGACGTAAGCTAATCATAACAAAACTGCAATAAAAGATTCATGATCCAAACACTGCCAGAATTAATTCAGTAGAGCTACCTCTGAGCCTAAGCAGAGCTGGTAAACTCATAATCCATCTGTGGATAAAAACATTTGCATGTGAAAGTCACATTTTAAAAGCTTTTAAATCATTTTGAGATTTTTTTTTAGAACTTCTCTTGAAATTTTGGAAATTGATGGTACTTATATCACAGATTTTCACAAAATCATCTAGGAATGTTAATAATGAATCACGAATATATGATGTTCATATTGATTATCTCATTCAGTCAGATGCATTCACTCTGCTCATTTTTGTTTCTTCAAGCTTCTGCTGTCCTCAGGAGAAAGCAAACGGGTAAAGTTTGCAGTATAAGTTCTGATTATCCTGAAGGATGACTAGAAGAGCTGGCACTTGGGGGTGTTAAGAACATTATCTTTATTACCATGGGATTAAAGTCTCAGCTAAAGAAATCCTCAATGTGAAAAGTGAAGGCTATCAAAAAAATAAAAATAAATAATAAATAAAAAATAAAAAAATAAAAAACAGGAAATGAAGCTAAGTGACTGACAGCTAATTGACTTTTTGTTGTAAAGTGTTGCTGCAAATATCCCCAGACAGAAGAGCACTTAACCAGATCAAAATGTTGTAGCTAGCTGTTATTTTGCCAAGAAGATACAACATTCAAAAGAAATAACATCTATGGACCACAGCGGCTTTATCATTTGCTGAAATTCCATTACTGAAACTTGAGAGCCAAAAAAAAGCCAGATACTAAAGAATACTGTATATTGTATACTAAAATAGTACAAAGATTTTGCCATGAAGGACATGCCAATACAGCAGATTATTTAAAAAAAAAAAAAAAAAAAAAAAACTTTCTAATGCTCTGCAAACAATCTCTAACATGAGACACAAATACAAGTTTTTTCATTCTATTTATACACATGTACGAAAATGTGAAAGGGAGGTGCATCTCAACATTTAAAAAATAGTTGAGGTTCACAAGTCACTGGAGTTCGACACACACCACCAGGAGCTTGAACAGTGAGACCAGTGAGCCAGTCAGTAGCTGTAATGTTTAAACGTCCCTGTGAAAAGAATAATATATTGTTAATTGTCAAGATCACTACCATGCCATGGATCCACCTTTGAGCAGCACTGCATCCACATGTGGATCTGCACAGCAGCACTGCCCCACTGACTGTGGCCAAAACCTTGTTGCCATGCTGTATGTCAATCTAATGTTTACGACATATTACATGAAGAGATTCTTATTTGTGTGGGGGGAAAAAGTGATTTGGGAGATTCCTCCTGAAAATTCAGTGTAACTTTAGCCCTATGCTTGTCCAGTATTTATGCTAAAAGTGGAGAGGGCTGAACCGTAGAAGCAGAAAGCAAAGCTGCATAGATGTGAAACATCCTGTGTGCAAGCACATTCTACATCTGCCACCAAAAATGGTTCAATTTTGAATTCTAAATATGCATAGTAAACCATTCATTCACGAATAGAAAATGCAGAGCTGCCTGATAAATTTACCCTGTAATTTCAAGTAGTAAATACATTTGGGAAGGAACCTATTTTTCATTGAAATGAAGAAAAAACCTCACCGAATAAAGCTATTTACTATTAATTATTTACTGAGCTGGACTCTTACAGAGATATGTTAGTATCAGGTTTTTGGAGAAAACATCTCTGCACAGTTCACTGTATTGCAGAGAACTTAAACTCGCTTGAGTCAAATAGGGAGAGATACTGCAGTCTACTAAGTTATGTCACAAAGAAAATGATAAGACACTAATACTTCCTCTGGGTGATTTTGAATGCTCGGTTATGATTCTCAGATATACTTTAACCACAGCAACATTATTCCTCCCCAACCTTTTTGTTTGTTTGTTTTGTTTTGATTTTGTTGTTTGGTTGGTTGGTTGGTTTTTGGGTTTTTTTTGGAAAAGGTACCAATTTGTCCATAATGGCTCTAGACATATAACCATACAGTGCACATGACAAACCACAAACAGCTCAGCATTGTGTACTTTGTCTCCTGAGAGCTTTCGACCACTGATCTAGATGGACAGTCATTTTTGAGAACCTACCTAAGAAGCAGATGTCTGTAATGGTATTTTGAAATAATTTTTATAATTCCATTCTTATTTCCCTGAACAGTGAAAAACTGCTCAAATTTCATTCAGTTTCTTCCATGCAAATTGTCCTGGGCATTTAGGACGCACCAAGAAAATGGCTACTTAAAACACCGTGTAAAGGAGATGCTGATGTTTTGGATTTCTCTGAATATTTAGGTAAATGTTATACTAAGAACAAAAAAATACCCAGGCAAAAGTCACTGACCTCTCAAAGTAAAACATATTGTTAAAAATACTGCAATGTCCTTGCTAGCAAAGCAAGTGACCCAAGGCGAATTTGTTCCAAAGCCTGTATACTTGGAGATCTTTGCTTATCAGGGCAGAAAGATAACCAGTGGTGGCTTTGAGCTACTGCTGACTGATTTAATCACAGTGATCTGTGCTATAACTGGAGTGGAATACTACAAACCAGAGCGCAAACGCAGAACAAAAATCATCATCTTCAGTCACTTGTGTTATTTGTTTCTTATAGAGGA